AGCATGACGTACACAATCCGCGATGAAAAATAGTTTAGGTACTTATAGAGAAAATAATCTTTGGCAAGTTGTAACTAACGTCCCAACCGTACAGTGGCGGTGCAGGAACATCCACTAGCCCGTACCGCCCCGAGGGTGTCCTGAGGCGACAGAGTGAAACTAAACAGGAGCTGGGCGGCAGCGTGTTCGTGATGACAACTCAAAATTATAGCAACTGCGGTTGCCAACCCGCCTGCCAAGCGTGCCAACTATGCCGATACGAGGGCGGCACTGAAAATTTCGGGAATCAAGGAAGTGACACAACATTACTATTTAAAAATGTATTTATTGCTTTTCGAAGTATTCCCCGCGAAATTTGACACATTTTTCCATACGATGGAACCAATCATTGAAGCAACCATTCCATTCGGAAGTTGGGGTCTCCAAAATGGCCGTTTTGTAGGCATCCACAGCTTCTTCAGGTGATGAAAATCTCTGTCCACGCAATTTATTCTTTATTTTAGGGAAAGTATAGAAAAAAATAAAAACTCTTTTGTTCTGTGTGCGGTGTTAGAACTCGCATTGTCGTGATGGAGAATGATGCGGCGGTTGCAGTTCTCTTTACGGAGTTCAGAAACGACCTGTGGCAAACAAATGTTAGCATAACATTCTGCATTAACCGTTCTTTGTCCCTCAAGAGGAATAGTCGTAACATGGCTGGTTTTGTAGACAAACGTGGCCACCATCTTTTTTGCAACACTCCGTGAACGAACAATTTTTGTTGGCTTTAACTCATTTTCGAACACCCAAACTCGTGACTGTTTTTTTTGTTTCGGGTTCGTACGCGTATATCCAGGATTCGTCACCTGATGCGATGTTGCATACAGCATTTGAGGATCCTGCGTGGAATCTTTCGAGAGTTCTTGAGAGTGCGTACCAAGTAACGCGAGCCGCTTTTTGCTCTTCACAGAGCGAATGCGGTATCCATCGGGAAAACAACTTTTTTACACCTAATTGTTCATGCAAGATTATTTGTATTTGACTCATGCCAATGTCTAAAGTTGCCTGAATTTCGCGGTATGTTACATGTCCATCTTCCTCAATCAGCTTACTTACTTAATACAGCATCAACGTTTTCTTGGGTGACTGCAGTTTTTGGACGACCTTGACGGGGATCATCACTGAGCTTGACACGTCCACGTTGAAATTCAGCAAACCAGCGATAAATTGTGGTTTTGGATGGGGCTTCATCACCAAATGCCGAAATCATCCGGTCAACACACTGTTTTTGTGTTAAGTCACTTCGAAAGTCATAATAAATCATCGCTCTTGAATTTTCTCGAGTTAATTCCATTTTCTCAACGACTAAACAAGTTTGACTAAACCTTGTGACAAGACCGAGAATCTTTTTTTAAATAAATAAATGGTATTCGATTTTTAAAACCAAGGAGTTTTCAATTAAAAAGATTTTAATATGACAGGAACAGTGGAAATATTCCATTCCCGATACTTTTTGTGCAGCCTATGATCAGCAGCAAGATAAAAGACAATTCAGCAGTGCACTTTTATTAGCTGTAACGGATGGAATTAATATCGATACAGTGCCGTAAACATTCATCAATTTAACCGAATGGCTGGCGTTTATTACTAAAAAGGCAACTTAAAATTTCAAAACGACTAAAATAGTTTAATTTAGATACTAGACGCGAAGGTTTAGGTATTAGTGTTTTTGCACAATAAAGAATAATATCTTCCAGACCGGGATCTGTATTCCCTCACTCTAATAGCCCTAGGGGACGGCCATCCCGTACGACCGCTAGAAATTAGGCGCAAGACCAACGGTTTTACGTGCTTTTCCAAGTACGGAAATAAAATACTGCCAAGTTCCAGACTCTACTACTGAAAATTTCCTAATAATTAATTAAGGCCCGATCCAGGATTTTCTTAGTCTGGGATTTGAATCCAGGACCCGTGCCGTAGTAGCTCGGTACTCTGATCACCAAGCCGCGCAGTCACCGACCATGTGTTTTTTAATCAAAAAATTCGTTCGTAGGGATCGCAAAAGTGTTTTGTGTTGTTGCAAAAAAATTATTCTTCTTTTTTTTTCATCAGCTCTTAATATAATCCTACTGCTAAACATAGAATAAGGGTGACAAGAGAACACCCAGCACACATGAATAAGTGGGTGTGAGGCCCATAGACATCTATTAAGGATCCAAATGCAGATGCGTTGTCAAGCCTGAGGACTACGATGAAATGCCTCTTATCCAGTGCAAAGGGTATACGGTTTTCTACAATCACCATATGAAACCCATCAGCATTGAGCTGCAGTTTTACGCTGGTATTCTGTAAGAGCGTGGTCTTTTCCCTGTCGAACCGACCCATTCGTGCTACAACCGTAATATAGTTGCAACATGGCACTATAACGCACTAAATTGACAGGATTTGCCTTAACCTGCACACTTGGATCGCGGTGCCAGACGTAAGCACTAATGACGCTGTTTCCATTATTCCATTCCAGTCGCAGGCTTTAGTATTTTACGCCAGGCTTACTCGAGATGATTATACTGATGAATATTAGCTTAATGGATCTTAAGGCAGATGTCTTAGTTGTTGCTTGACACCCTCTGGGCGAATGGTGTGATGGTTTTTTACGGCGCCACCATGACATTAAAAAAAGCGTTACCTCCACACTAGGATTTTGTCTCTGAGAGTAGTCAGAGTCTCTGGGAGTAGTTCACATAGGTACACAAATTTCACAAGGACAAACATCATTGAGTTACCTTGAGGATCACCAGCTGATTAGTGAACGCCAATACAGGTTTCGTCATTGTCGATCAGCTATCAGGGGATATTCTGGTCTAACTGACTCATAGATGGGCGGAGGCAATCTTGGAGGAGGAGACCTTGGCCGTTAGTTTGGACATAGTGAAGGCCTTCGATCGCGTTTGGCTCAAAGCGTTTCTTTCGAAGCTACCTTCCTATCGGCTTTCTGAGAAATTGTGCAATTGGATCACCAGTTTTGTTGAAGAACGGAGCATCAAGGTCGAATTAGTCGGTGCTTACTCCGATTACAAGCTTATTAACGCTTGTGTTCCACAAGGCTGCGTGCTATCACCAACGCTGTTTCTTTTGCATATCAATGACATGTTGCAAACCGGTAACATTCATTGCTATGCAGACGACAGCACTGGTGATGCTTTATATACCGGCCGTGCCAATATTTCTTGGGAAAACGTCGCCGAGTACCGAGACAAACTTGTGTCTGAAGTCGAAGTGAGACTTTGTTGTACAAAGTCTCGGACTGGGGGCGACTAAATCTAGTCCAGTTCAATCCCCAGAAGACACAAGTTTGTGCGTTTACCGCTAAAAAGAACCCCTTTGTCGTATCTCGTCAGTTTCAATGCACTCCCCTTGTCGCCTAAGCCAGTATCGGAATCCTCGGCGTCAACATATCGAATGAGAGTGTGAAAGTGGAGCTTCGTGGTCATTCAGAAGAGAAGGCCAAATTTGCCTCTGAAAAGCTTGGCGTGCTCATCAGAGCTGGACAGTATGTGATGCCGGCACATCGCCTGCAACTTTACAAAGCCCAAGTTCGGCCTCACATGCAATATTGTTTCCATCTCTGTGCCGGGGCCCCCAGTGCCAACTCCTTTCATTTGATCGCGTCCATCGCAGAGCGGTTCAAATCGTTGAAGAGCAAGCTCTTTGTGTTTGGCTTGATTAACTGGTACTACGAAGAGATGTTGCATCTCTGCGTATTTTATCGCGTGTACCACGAGGAGTGCTTTGAGGAATGGTTCGGAGTAATTATAGTCGTCCAGTTTCATCATCGCACATCGCGATACCATCCATACCATCTGGATGATTGGCGGTCCACCACTGTGCGATTTACAAGAATTTTTCATCCTCGCACGACTTCCTTGTGGAATCTACTACCACCAGCGATTTTTCCGGACCGATACGACTTGGGGATCTTCAAGAAAAGAGCCTATTATTTTTAAAGGCCTGCAACGCACTTGCGATTCCCGTGGTGTTGTAGTTGTTCTTGGGCGGCGGTCGACTCTTTTTTCCATTGGAACTATCTGTAGATCTAGTAACAAATTTAAAAATAAAGATTTTAGTCCCGTAGATAATAGCTTCTAAATAATTTCAGAAGCTATGAACTGTACAAAAGATGCATTATACATAGATTTTGTGTTTGGTAGAGCCACGCTGCAGCATTGATGCTTCGGCTCGACGAGCCAAGGGCTACGCTCACACAGTAGCAGCGTGCACCACGGTATATTAATGCTGTTGTTTCGTGTGGTGAGTGTGGAGAACCGGAGAATCTTTTTACTGGCGTTGGCGTGGCTTCAAGCGTTTAGATTACGCGAACAAAACTAACTTGAGAGTCAGGAGGAGGGGAGAGTCAGTCTGGTCTCTTAACTTCTTAAGGATGTAATAATGTTAAAATTTTAAATTAGATAAGATCGGCGTGAAAAATAAACATTATGTGTCTATTTTTTGACGCGGATTTTACCTAATTAGAATAATAAAACTAAAACATCGATCTATAGGGCCGGCAACGCATCTGCAATTCCCCTGGTGTTGCGGTTGATCATGGGCGGCGGTAGTCACTTAACATCAGGTGAGCCGCATGCTCGTTTGCCCCCTCTTCTATAAAAAATAATAATCGAGAATTAAAGAGTTTTTATTAAAAAGAAGAAGATCTAAACTTATGCGAGTATCACAAAAGGTACCGTAATACAGAAAAGCACAAAAATGTAAATTATGTGTATATGCCGTTCAGGCATGTAAAATAAAGATATTCCTATACACATGATTTTTCCATACAAAACGCTTTAACCAATTAAATGAAACTATTTTAGTCATGATAATAGCTGTTATGATCTAATTTATTGTTACTTTTGGCATTTCTAGACGGGAAAAATTACAAAAAAAAAATACATTATGCAAGAACTTTTTCGTGTTGTTTCCACACATATTACCGAACCTCAATCGTGATATGTCTGTTGCAGACGCGGATGCAGTCGTTGCGCTCCGCCCACAACGGCAGCATTGCCGAGACCCTACGGTACATGGTCCAGCGAGAAGGCCTCCTAAGGTAACATTAACTATTACATTGAATAGGTCGTTTCATGATCGGTGAGGAACGACCGCTCGCTCGTAGCAACATGATAGAGCCATGTTGCTGTGTGAGTAGTAGGTATAGTTGTAGAACGAATTGATCGGCTCGACCGGGGAAGGACCACGCTCTCGCCGAATACCAGCGTAAAATAACAGGAGACCCTTTTTACTCAAAACGAGTCATTCCATCTTAGTCCTCACGGGTGACAATGCATCTGTTTCTTCACTCGTAATCGAGGATAGATGAAGATTTCTATGAGCAATAGCAACCACTTATTATCAAGTGGACTGTTGTGTTGATGCGAGAGGTTGTAGAGGCTTGTAGTCGTCTCCTGCGAGCAGTCAATGTCGCAGGAGACGGGGAGAGAGACAAAGAGTTCGGCAGATACTCTATGCCGCAGCTGGAGAACAGGGCACTGCACGGGGGCATATCAAACCTCCAACTCGAAACGGTAATGGGAACCCTATGCCAAGCAACTTGTATAGGCTGTAACTTTACTCACTTGTTCCTTGTACAATTTTTCTTAACCATTAACATTCCATGGTCTCATCGTATATAATTTATATTGACCACTGAAATGTTATGTTTTTTGTAAAATAATTATTTTAAAAATTAGCAAGCTTCTTAAATTACTATAAGTGCCAAGTTATACCGCCGCTATCGGACTTCAATCAAACAAAAGTTAAAGAAATCCATACATACAAGGCCGAGATACGCGGTGGGTTGTCTCCCTCGAGGAGCCAGATCTCCGAAATTATCTGGTTCAGTCATACAAGCGCGCCGCGACAGTTAAAAACGTATTCTTCCAATGTCTTGCTACCTAGATATCCTCTCTTAAATATGGCGTTTCAGGCTTCCATCTGATTTGCCTTGTGGCCAGTCCGAGTTTACGAAGCTTTGTCGTTTCAACGCGTTCAGAACATTGTGAGAACATCCTTAATTCTCTGCAACGGTAGAGGCTCATCAGTAGACTTCCACGGGCAGACGATGATGAAAATTGAAAATTGAAAAATTGTAAAAATTCTTTATTGCAACAATCTCAACAATTTATACATATCATTGTGAACATAGCACCTGTAAAAGGTTAACTTGAATAACACGAGCTAGTTCCTTCCTATATTAGACAAGCTTTTGTTGAATAAAAATAAATATAAATGAAGAGTATGTTTTGATCGTTAATGCCTTTTGGTGGCGACTTGGAGATTCCAATGCAACCTTTTCCAAAGACGCCTCTTAGGAAGTTTGGGAACATTGAGATGAATGCCTCACGACCTCTGATAGATTGCATATCTTATATGCCAGCAGACAGGTAAAGAGGAGTAGTGTTAAGCATTTCATCATACTGTGAAAGGGTGGAGTTTTCAGCAAATTATTTTTACACCAAGAAACCCGTACCCAGTAGTGGAATGATATGAATTGGTTAAAAAGAAGAAAAAAATTTTCAGTCTATAAACAACGCTCAGTATGGTTTCGTAGTGGTTAAACGTTTAGCCGTGACACTGCGGGGCCGCGGATTAGAATCCTGCACGGTTATTGTATGTATAATTTATGTATGCACACCGCCTCTACGATATAGGAGAAAATCCTATTGTAAAAATAACATTTTCACGATCAGAAAAATAAAAAAAAACCGTTTCCAAAAATATTTCTTTGTGTAATACTACTACTACTCCTCTAGTGACTGTAAACACTCCCGAAAAGTCATAGGAAAGCAACGTACGCAAATTCGTTTACTTGAATGACATATTTTTTCCAGTTAGTTTGATATAAAAACTAAACTATTGAACAGATTTTGATGGAATTTCTATGGTACCAATCCGAAAGTACATCATATAACAAACATAAAAATAAATAAAAACATCCAACCGACTTGAGAACTTTCTTCTTTTTTGAAGTCGGTTAAAATAAAATATAAGAATAACTTATCTGAATAACTTTTTTGTGGCATAATAACGCGTTTTGAAGCGAACTGTGTTATTCATAACTAAGAAAAAAACCGTACTATCATCTAGCCACAGTCTGGTCGGCAGCCGGATGCGGCATACTCGTACACCGTGATTGGCAGAAACAGTTCTGTTTCATTACTGTCATTATTTAATTTGTATGTTTGTCGTGTAGTCTGTCAGAAAACTGACACAATCGATGAATGTTGTCAATCTGAATTAACTGAGCGAAAACTGATGACAGAAACCTAATGCTTTTATATATTTACGCGAACACCACAACAACAACATATGGAATAAAACTAATTTTACGGTTTTATCGCTTTTAATTTATAACTTTTTTTAATTCCAGACGTTTCAAAATCTTACAGCACCCATGGTCACGGGGCGGACTGGGGGCGACCATGCGTGCTGTAAAGTGCTCGAAACGTCAGCAATTAAAAAAGTTGTTTGTAAAATACTCAATAAAGAGAAACTTTAATTTTTGGTTTACTAGTGAGGACACATACACCACTTACGGCGTACCACAAGGTAGTATTTTAGGCCCAACATTGTTTCTAATTTATATCAATGATCTTTGTAATCTGAAAATTAATGGTGCCCGTGTGTTCACATATGCTGATGACACAGCTGTAGTTTTTACTGGAGCATCATGGGATGAGATGCGTAAAAATACAGAATCTGGCCTTACTATAATTGCAAGCTGGCTTCAATCTAATTTTCTAACGTTTAATGCACTTAAAACTAATTATATTTGTTTTACTATTAAAAACCGAGCTCAACCAGGAAATAACTTTAACATAAAGATAAAAAAAGAGAGAACACACTTGCAACATTGACGAAGTTCAAAATTGTAACTGTTCTGTCGTTACAAAAGTTTCTTCAACCAAGTACTTGGGGATCATTTTAGATGAACGAATTTTAGAAAATTAGCCTGGATTTTTAAAACGCTTAGATATATTACTTCATAATGATTTCTTATATTTACGCGAACACTATACATTGATTAAAACTACTTTTACGGATTTTATCGCGTTTTATTTATATTAATTTTAATATCCGACGTTTTGGGTGCTTTCCGGCACCCATGGCCCCCGTGACCATGGGTGCTGGAAAGCACCCGAAACGTCGGGTATTAAAATTAATATAAATAAAACTCGATAAAATCCGTAAAAGTAGTTTTAATCAACATATTACTTCAGATACGCTCATTAACAAAATTTATATAACATTAGCTCAATCGTTAATAACTTACTGCCTTCCGATATGGGGTGGAGCAACAAAACAAAATTGTTGCAATTAGAAAGAGCTCAACGTGCCTTAGTAAAGACAATGTACTTTTTGCCTTATAAATTCCCAACTAAAAGCCTGTATTTAAAAACTGATATACTAAGTATAAGAAAATTATATATTTTGCACACAATATTAAAAAAGCATAAAGGTCTGATTTTAGACCCAAATATTTTGAACAAAAGAAGAAAAGACATTGTACTTAATTCATTTTGTGTTAAAACTGCATTCGCTAGACGTCAGTTCATTAACCAATCTATCTATCTATAATAATTTTGTCAACAAAAAGCTTAATATTTACTGTAGAAATGCCAAGGACTGCAAGATTTTGATTATAAATTGGCTAAAGACCCTGTCTTACGAAGACACAGAAAAACTTATGTTTCGACTCATAGGGTGAGAGAAAAAACCCCACAGAAACACACACACACACACACACACACACACACACACACACACACACACACACACACACACACACACACACACACACACACACACGCGCGCGCACACGCACACATTTATTTTTGAATATTATATTTTCTTTTTTGTATAATATGAAATCTCACGTCTCTTGAACGTTTTGTTTGGCTGTGGAAGAGCGGGAGTCTCTGACACAAGTGCCTTAAGGTACTTAAAAGATGCTCCCTACCCTATGCAAATTGTAAATACCAAGAGAAATAAACTATTATAATTATTATTATTATTGGGCTTGCGCTTTCTATTGAATGAAATGGTTACACACTTTGAGGTGTTAAACTGTAAACGGCTATTCTTGCTCTCTGTTTACGTCCTGTTGTAGCTTTTCACAGTTTCCAATGTTTCTCCTTAACTACTCGTACCTTAGGCAAATCGTTAACCTGTAATAAAAACTGAAGTGGCTCTAAATTACTGCTTTGGCTTACTCCAGATTATGTAATATATGGGTCCAACGTAAGAACCGGCATATTTCTGCATACTGCATTTTACCTCTCATATAGCTCAAAAATGGCCGGAACGGAAAACGGATTAGTAAGCTGAAGTGGCAATGGACCGGCCATATAGTTCGAAGAACCGACAACCGTTGGGGAAAAAAGGTCCTCTATTGGTAGCCTCGTACTGGTAGGCGAAGTGTAGGGCGACCCCCCCACTAGATGGAGTGACGACCTGGTAAGACATGCAGGAAGTCAATGGATGCAGGTGGCTCAGAAATAATTTTAACAAATGTGAAGTGAAGCCAACTGCGTTATAAAACAAAAGCGGTTTACTTAGTATAAAGTCGTTATCCACTAAGTAAAACGCTTTTTTAAGTTAAATTAAGCGGCCTTGACTTGCACCCCCTGTCCACTGCGAGCATAATTGCAGTTATGTAGCTAAGAAGGTTGTTAGTGGTGCTTCTCATTGGTTGAAACCCAGGCTGTGCTTCCGAGATCTGCTGATTCACCTACATGAATAATTTGTCGTACATGGCCGACTCAAATACTTCATCTAATGATGAAAGCATGGCAACAAATCGGTATTCGTCCACAGGCGATCCTGCATTTCCAGGAACGCCCCGTATGGTTTTCCACTTACTGGGAAAAATAGCGTTGTCCAGGTACCTAGAATTTATGTACATTAACTATATTATTATTATAGTACTAGCTAACCCTCTTACTACTAAAACTAATTACTAACCCTTATGGATGTATGTTGTCCGAAAATAAAGTGATTTGATTTGATTCGATTAACCGCTTAGCTAACACGAAACGGCAGTCCCTAAGT